CTGGAGGGACTATGTCTCTCGGCTGGCCTGGGAACGCCTCGGGATTCCCCCAGAGGAGCTGGAGGAAGTGGCCGGGGAGAGGGAAGTCTGGGTTCCCCTGCTGAGACTGCTGCCCCCGCGACCCGACCACGGATAAGCGGGAGAAAATGGATGGATGGATGGATTATATCCCAGCAGGGTGAGCGAGCAGTGAACGAGGAATCAGGGTCAGGCAGACGGAAATCCAACAAAGGGCGGGGGGGGTTATTGCAAGCACAGCACACAACACTGGGAAAACTTCAATGACAGATCTGGGCGACAGACTCTGACGTGGACTTAAATACACAGGACCAGACAAAACAATAAGAAACAGCTGGGAACAATTGGGTTTGCACGCGAAGTTAATAAGGGGCGTAGCACACAAGAGGGTCAAACGAGCAGGTTCTGACAGTTATGGACATACTGTTATACTTTTTTTTTACACTTTTGTATTTATCTGGAGAAGACTTGATTCAAAATAAAAATTAGTCACCATGTTAATCTACATCCATCCAAAGTTATTATTTTTACCTTATTGCATTTTATTTTGCTTGATTAAAGGGACATACTTGACTACACTAGATTTTGTTTACAGTTCCCAATAAAAAATGATAAAATGCTAATTATATTTGCCTTTTTTTAATCCATTGAAATGTAAAGGATTGTGTGAAATTTCATAATTTCTACTACTACCCCAGTATCGAACTAGAATAGAATCGTATCTTATCGTATCGTGGGACTTTCTGAGGTATCAAAAAAAAATCGAACCGTTGGCTTAGGGAATCAATATTGTATCGTATCGCGAGGAAAGCTGTGATTTACACCCCTAATATTAAATCATATTTAAAAAAGTCTAACTAAATAAATAAATGAATAAACATGTAGACAGACTAATTAATTAATTAACTCTCCATTAGGGAAGTCAAAGATATCATGCTTCACTTACAGCAAATGCCAGTACAAATAAATGAGACTTCAGCAGGGACTTGAAAGTTTCTACAGACTGTTCAGTTTTGATACAGTATGTAAAGGCAAACTTTTCCAAAGGGTAGGAGCCACCACTGCAACAGCACAATCATCTCTGCTCTTATACCTAGATCTAGGTTCTGATTGGTTTATGGAGGTGCAGAAGTTTTGTCAGATATAAATGGTCTGACCATTTAAGGCTTTAAAAACAAACAGTAATATTTTAAAATCAATCCTGAAATGAATGGCAAGCAAATGGAGGGAGACCAAAACTGGTGATTATATAGTCTTGGTTTTTCTTTCCTATAAGCTAACAGCATGTTTCAGACCCTGGACCTGATCAAGTAACAACTTGATCATATTTTACCTCTGGAAATTCAAACAGTCTTTAGAGAATAATATTGATCGAGGTTTAAGGAAACAGGAGTAACCAGCTAATACTGCAAGCAGACTTCATGGCTTAAGGTATTGAGTTTAATTTTAAATAAAATCCAATAAATAACATAAAATTGCTAAATAGAATAAAGACAATAGACTTCATGGAACTAAATTATTTAAAAGTTATTGAGAAATTTGTCCCATGAGAATTTCCAGTTTTCTTTTTCTGAGAACTACATTTTTCTGACTTCTAGTTTAACTTCACTCACTTATTTTACAGTCATGTATAACATAGCTTATTGAACTAAAGTACAAGATGTACCGGCAAATGTTTAAATGAAACCTCATCTGCAGCACAGAAGACATTAAAAAGACTTTGTCATGCTTGTATGATTGGAGATGTGATGGTTTATAGTCTCTCGCTATTTGCTAATGAAATACTTGCGAATGGGATTAGAATTTCTGTAGCATGAGGCTTCTCTCACAAAATATGGCACTACCCTGAGTTATCATATGTAACTGTAATGTTAATTAGATCTTCTTTTTATTTTTAAATTGTTACAACCTTTCTATTTATAGGTAGCTGGCTATCCAATTGTACAATACTCATAGCATTACTTAAGTTATATAACTTGGAGTATTATACAATTATTAGAGGTTATTAAATGAAACATATAGATCTTCTGTCCTTGGGGAACAATGCAACACTGGCTGACACAACAAAGTGCAATATCTTTTTTTGTTTAGATAATATTCTTATCCGAAACAAGACACAAGAGAAAAGTGTGTAATGGACTTTAACATACGTTGAAGTGTGACGATGAGCTCCACGGAGGCAGATTGTGAGGACAGCGTATACCAGACCCCATGTGGGTCTTGCAGCCACTCTTCCACCTGGCAGTAGTGCAGACCATTATCAGAAGGCTTAGCCTGCCTGATCATCAGTGTGTACAGCTGGGCTTCACTTCTCATTAGGCTGAACCTTTTCTCTCCTTGGATCCCAGAGGTGACAGAGTCATGATCCATACTGAGAAGTGTGTGATGTCCCTTTCCCTCCCTTTGGACAAGCCAGGAGACAGAAAAGCGGCTGGAGTTGACTGTAGACTTGAGGATGCGACACTCCATCAGAACATCTGAGTTTGCATTATACTTCAGGGGAGATGGAGGTCCCATTGTGATGGACAAGGTGCTCACTAAGGGAGTGATGATGGCACAAAGAGAATGAAATCAGCAAATGGGCTGTTTTGGATGTAATTTATATATCCTCCTGAGACCCAAGGAAAAAAGTGTCCTTCAATTTTAGGTTATTTGTCTTTGGAGGAAATGACATCTTACAATTTAGATATTTTCAAATTTATTTTTATTTTTAATTTCACAGCATGTCCTCTTTAGTGTACAACAGGAAAAAATAAGTTTCCTTACAACAGTGAAAAGATAACAACAAATTTTGCAAAAACAAAATATCCACTACAATGGACATAAATGAATGGGTAGGGTCTCAGGAGGATATTGAAACAACCTAAAAAGGCACTGAGAAACCTGTTAGATGTGCACAAATGTATGCAAAAGTTGTATTTTTTTTTTCATTTACCTGGTCGTGTAATAATCACACGTAAGTGGTTGGAGGGAATCGATGACACTTGCACTTGTCTTAAAAATGTCTCAATGACACATTGGTAGGAGCCAGCCTCTGAGATGCTGGCCCTGTACATTTTCAGTGTGAAGCTGGTTTCTTCCTCCTGAACTTCTGCTTTTGGCTGATAAGTATGGCTTTCTTTATACCACCTTATATCACCAGTATGCAGCAGCGACACTATTTCTTCTTCAGACGTTGCATTTTCATGCTTAAACTTCCATGTCACTGATAAAGGTATCTTGGGCCTCTTCACTTTACAGATGAGTTCTAATGTGTCGTTTTCCTTCGCTTCCTGAACTTTGCGGCCGCTTAAAGATGCACGTATGAGGGATCCTATAGAACAATAGGTGTCAGGTCAGAATATGTCACCACTCATTTGAAGTTATTGCTTTATAACAGGGTTTAGACAGAGCACATTTTCATCTCTCCCAGCTCCCAACACACCTATAACAGGAATTCGGCTTGATTGTTTGGTTCAGGTGTGTGCAGGGCTGGGATGAAACAAAATTGTGGACTGCCAGGTGGCCCCCGACAACTGGGGTTGAGAAACACTGCTTTAGACAATTCTATATTACTCTTTATCCATCATTTACTCTGGGTATTTCTAAAGGTAAAGTACCCTACACAACTTGAGAAATCTTCATGTTAAAAGTTCAGGTGCGTAATTAATTGCTATGCTACTTTCTACATATAGTACTTATGTAAACATGCTCTTACTAATAGGCTGGACAATAGCTTTGAGCTCCTGGGACTTGCTGTCAGCCTTTTTCAGATTCCCATTGCTATCGGTCACCCAGTCAGATGCGATGCATTTATAAGTCCCTGAGTCTGTGGGCTGTGCATTGGCTATCTTGAGTGTGAAGGAGCTGGCTGACACACGGTGGACCTGTACGTCCCCCATTTCCATCCTCTGCTGGAATCGCAGAGCGGGATCCATTATTCCATTTTGATTCAGGGTGATGACATCACTGAAGGGTCCCTGGCCATCCATGTGCTGCCAGGTCACAGACACCTGTCCCTTAGCTCCTGTCACTGTGCAGGAGACCTGCAGCACACTGCCATGGATGGTAGTCACCATCAGGCTTGGTGAAGTGACCGTCAAGTTGCTTTCTGTGGACAGAAGCATGCAGTAAATGTGAGTCCATGATCAGCCTGTAGCACTTGTCCTTAAATAGCAGGAGATCATGCCTATTTAAAATGGAGGGTATTTTGTGACAATATTCAATAAATAAAAACGTCATTTAAATGATTATTCAAATTGCAATTTAAATTATACCAACAACCTTTAAAATTATCTGTCAAACACAAACTGAGTGGGCAGACTCTAAACGAAAGTAACAAAAGATCGATCTCACCTAGTTGATTGAATTATCATTTATAACCTATTTTTGGTCCCTTCCGTCCAGGGCTGTATTACAGTACATCCTAACTTCCCAAAATCTTAAATAAACTAAACTAACTTTAGGATAACTGTCCTAACTGTCATTGGCCACTACATAGTGTTAGCAATAGCTAAACTTATTTACACAACCAACGGAATGTATGGAACTCTGCTATGGAGCTTCAGTGATGACATAATGATAAAAAGTATACATATCGTGGCCACATTTTAATATATAATTGGAAGGAATTACAGTAGTCCCACTGTATCCCTGGTTTCAGTTATCCGCGGTTTACCTTGGTCTGAAACCAAAATGTTAAATGTGTAATTGTTTTTTTTCATAGTTCCTTCATCCTTTGATGAGTATAAAAAACATGGTCTACATTGCTCCGTTATCCCTTGATAATATTTTTTCATTGCTCTATCACAGAGGTCACTAACAGGCGGACCGCGGTCCAGTTCCGGACCCAGAAGCAGTCCCATACGGACCCGAACAGATAGCCAAAACAGAAAGTTGTGATTTAAAACCAGATGGGGCGCTTCTATTTTATCCGGCGCAGCTTTAGTAGTCTTTTCGGTAGTGGTTTAGCACTATAACCGCCGTTTCCCTCATCAATGAACGTCAAATGCCTTTGACCGCCAAGCAAGACGTAGTTCGGCATATGCAGCCCTTTGTTTGCGCTAATGTGCCATTAGTGTTAACAGCAGAAAAGCGAACACTCGCAACCAAAATGCCGTAATATTCCGGACAGAGTGGCTGCTCTGTCCTGAAATCCTACAGCTACAGTTTTCAAACACTACAGTATGTATTATAACATGTTGGATAAATAGACATAGTTTATTGGTGATTTCATGTTTGTTGAAGTTTCCAATTTTTAACAACCGTTTAAAGAAGTAATGTTATTTGTTATATAAATCAACTCGGGTGAAATAAAAAATGTTCGTTTTCAGGGTTGCCAAGTCTCAAGCATCTGGCATGACACTCATGCAGGAAATCTTACAGCAAATCTATATTATTCTATTATAAACCTAAAATTAGCTACGTTAAAAGTGTATTTACACGGCTCAATACAAAAGCAGACTATTTACAAGGTAAGAACTGTTACATATTTGTGCAGACATCTCGAATTGAAATTTTAACTCCAGCCAGCTGGCCGAAGTTGGCAACCCAGCGTTTTATTTGAAATGAAAAGTAAAATGCACTGTTGTTCCCTGAAACAGCTTGTCATTCCGTTTGCGTTGTTACTCCGACAAATATGAGAATATGAGAAAAAGGGGAAATTCAAGCTTTCCTCCCTTTATTATATTTTTCTGAAGTTAAGCACCTTATTTAAACATGCATAATTTTCACATTTTATTTATTTTCTCTTATTTTGAAATGCAGCCCTACTTTTATTTAGTAAATGAGAGAACATTATACATATCGGCAGTCATACATATTCAATTCGTCAGTTGTCACGTGACAATAAATATCGTCATAAAGTTTTTGAATTGTACTGAATTAATTTGATTTGACAGTTAGGTATTGACTATATGCAATTTTGATACAACTAATAGGCTACTTAATTATATATCACACTAAATATTTAGACATTATGATCTTCTGGACCTTTGCTTCAAGAAATTTTCTCTAACTGGACCTCTTTAAATTTTACTTGAATACCACTGCTCTATCATTTCTTGAGATTTAAATGGTAATTAGGTAATACATCAGAATACCTTGCTGAAACCATCCATCCATATTCTGAAGCCACTTATCTTATCCACTTATTCTTATCCAACCCATCACAGGGTGCAGTCACACACACACAATTTGGTATCTCCAATTCAGCCTTAACATGATTTTGGACTGTTGGTGGAAACTGGAGTACCCAGAGGAAACCCCATGACAACACAGGGAGAACTTGCAAACTCCACACACATGGAACCCTGGCGGAGCTCCCAGAGGTGTGAGGTGGTAATGTTAACCACTGCACCACCATGCCACCCGCTGAAATAATTTAAATTGCAACTTAAAAAATCATTTGTCCACCTGAAACTTTCATGTAGCCAGTATACCCCAGCCATCACTTCCGCTATCCAGTGGGACATAACCCTTATGATTTTATCAATCATTGCACTGTGTAAATTCAGTACCAATGACCAAATACTTCCCATTAATCACCACGGTGGATGGGCCGTTAGAGAAAAGCGACAGGTGTGCATCTGAAAATATGAGTATTTTAATTTTTTGCGCAGGTCCCTTCAGGGGCTTTGTATAAATGACATATATAATAAATAAACAGCAATTTAAACTATAATTATAATAATAATTTACGTCACATATTTATTTATTGAATATTGTCACAAAATACCCTCCATATATTGAAACTATCCGAAAGATATATAAGGAAACACCTTAAAGAAGTTTTATGTAGACAGTACAGCTTTGGACTTCATTGTGAATGCAGTTTCGTGAAATGAACACTGGTGGCACAGTTGCATATCTCTAAAGCAGAACTAGACTAGTTCACCTTTAACATAGGAAGTACACCTATGAAAGACCATGATTCTTCATTGTTAATTAACTGTATGTTTGTGATGGATATAAATATAACTCAGTGATTTAGCGTCATGCAGAGTAACTGAGCATCAAATGCTTTTCTCTAATGGCCCATCCACCTTGGTGATTAATGGGAAGTATTTATGTCTATTGTTCTGTCTCATTTTTCAGAATGAGCAGTTTTCCCACTGATACTCTACTTGCCAGCAGTGTTCAGACACACCTGTGACAGTGATCCGCACGTTCTCCACTTTGGACTCATTGCTCGGCCCCTGAATGAAGGCTCCCGCTTCTCCCTTGTTGTCCCTCCAGATCTTGCACTGATACTCCCCCTGGTCCTCCAGTCTGACAGGCCTAAAGAACAGCATGTAGTCCTTGTCACTCTTCTTCACCACGCTGACCTCCCCTTCTTGCTCCCTGCGTTCGTAATCCTGGGTGACAGAGGGCACTCCTGTGGGGCCAACACGGGCCACCTCCTTGCCAAGCCGCAGCCAAGCCACAGTGAAATATCGATCTGGAAGATTCTGTGCCTCCACTGTGCACTTCATCTTCAGAAGTTCACCCTCCCGGACACCCTCCTTAGGGGTCTCCAAGTGCACACTAAAGAAGTCTGGATCAGCAGCTATGACAGGGGCAGAGGGGTTACATGCCAATGAAAGACCTTTGAAGAAGTTCTACCATTGTACAGTATAGTGTACCATTATGTACATACAGGTAGTTCATCAACTAAGTTAATACAGTGAATTTAAGAATTTAACCTGTTTAACTGCAAGTGTTGTTTATGTTTAGAAACCCAGGACCCAATACCAAGCCACCATGAGGTTGACGTTATCTAAACTTATACACTGAGAATGACTTCTATACTTATCTTAAAAAGTAACAAGTAAATGGGGTAGTCAAGAAATTATTTAATTTCCATGGTACCAAGAACACTTGAAATGATTGATAGACTTGTAAATAGGAAGGTTGCATAGCATGAAACAATAGGAACCACAATTGTAAGTTGACCATTTATTTTGCTTAGAATCTTCATAATACTGTATGTTTTCACAAGGCCAATCACCCCATTTTTTATTTGTGCATATGTGTAACCATTCAAAGTCAATTTAGGTGTGCATAACCTTCACTGCTTCTGCAGTAGAATCTCGTTTTTCATATTTTTAAGCATTTTATATGTGAATGTTTCATGCATATGATCAGTGTTTATTGTCTGTAACAGAGCTGTATAACTCAGACTTACTCATTGGCTGGATCTGGAGGTTTGTCCCGTTGGTTCTTTTGTAGGCCAGTCTGTACCATGAAAGGTCTGGATCCTGGATCCACTCACTGCCCTCACAGAAGATGGTGCCTTGGTCGTTCACCTGTACCTTAGACAGAGCCAGCCGATAGGTGGTTCCACCCACCTTATTGAAGCTGAGCAGGCCGGTGTGGTACCGTTCCTCAAAGCCTTCCCCCGGCTTCAGAGAAAAATCCCGGTCTAGTTGGATAATAGGGTGGGGCTGGCTGTCCCCAGCCGCCTGCAGGTACCAGGTGACAGACAGGTGGGTGTGCTGGAAGCTTTGGGTAGACACCTCGCAGTCCAGCATGAGTGACTCTCCCTCCGTCTTGGACAGGTCAATGTCATCAGAAGAGGCACTCAGAGTGTCCTGAATGACTGTGGAATAAGGGTTAAGGATATTGTTAAGAGAGAGCTACATAACCATGTCAAACATGTAGTTTAGGATATAACATCTCAAATGCATCAGCTTTTCTTGCACGTGTAATTATTTAAACACATATGCGTGATTTTAACTTACTGTTTATCTTGGTCTTTTCGGCATAACTGCCGTAATACAAGCCATCTGGATTGGGGGTGGAGCACTCATATTCTCCTGCATCCAAATCGTCCGTGCTTTTGATGTGAAGTAGCACAGAGAAGTCACTCTTACGCTCAATCTCGATGTCTTTGGTTCTCACTCTTGTAGAATATTTGGCATAGGCGAAGTTGGGGTCTTTGGTGCTGATGATGTTGATTGGTTGGTTGGGCTGGGCCAGCTTATAGATGGAGAACTCAAAGTGCTGTCGAGTGTAGCTTGCCACGTTGCTGACGTTGCAGGAGATTTCCAGCGGGTAGCCGGCTGCGCGATACAGGGGGCCTTTATTTATGTCGATGACTCTCTGGCTCTCACACACATCTGTGGGACAGAGTAACAGCAGAAAAAGAGCCTATTTAAGAAGCAAACAGGAGCTCTTTTCCAGCCATCCATCCATCCATTCCACCACCCATCCAATTACAGGTTCATGGTATTATTTAACTTCTATTTCTAAAAGCACCGTAGTACAAAATAATACAGGGTTTACAATGTTAGTTTGATACGAGCAGCCTTGCACTGGAGAAGTTTAAAAAGAATAGACAAATGGATGGATAAACAAACTAAATGGTTCTAAGGCAGTTTGCCATATCACTTGAAGATGTTTTACACTTGGCCTTTAAAATGCAAATAAAAACCTGGGCGTCATCAATGCCACTTAATGCAAAAATAATGATAAAATGTGAAAATAATAATAATAATAATAACACGCTAAGTTTTATATTCAAGTCCCATGGAAAATCACAAAAATACCTGTTGCTTCCCTTCTGGCATGCAAAAATGAGCTTCTCCTAAAAGGAACAGGCCTTCTATTACAGATTTTATGGGGAAATAATCAGTAAAATAATGACCCCTGCTGACACGATGAAGCTCGGATTTGGTATCCATAAAAAATAACTGCCCAGGCCTGCCTTAGAGGGATGCTAGTCAGTCATACATTATGGGGAATTTTAGAATTGCTAACTCACCCAAGTGTTTCTAAATTGCATGAGAAAGCATACACACTATACATGCAAACACACACACACACACACACACAGTCCTAATGTCAACCATAAGTAACCAAACAAATTACAGTAGAAACCACTATAAACGTGATCAAGACTTAAGGAGGCTTCACCTTCAAACCAACCCTCTTAAAATGATGGACATATTTCTGAAAGTTGCTGGAAAACTACAAATAGATTAACTGCTCAGGGTGAGTGAATGAAGACTAACAGAGATTGACACAGTGACAGTAAACAGTTGCTTCTTTGAGATACTTGCATACAGTAAGTTTCAACTTCTGAAGTTGTTCAACACCCTTTCCATTTTACTGGCACAATAAATGGACTTAAGCCAAGCAGCAAAATGGTTTATACATAAAAAGCTAGGAGTGAGAGCAGGTTGAAGATGTAGATAAAAATGTCCATGATAATCTTATGAGCTACAGCAACATTACTGTGCAGTATCGGGCATGATTGGCAGTGGGATGCAAAGGGTGTGGAAAATTTAGCTGGTTTTAAGAATGTAGCTCAGAACCAATGTATTGATTTAGTTTTGATCTTGTTTTTGAGCTTTAATGCCATACACAGCTGCCTCAAAGTATTCATGCCCATTTCATTTGCATGAACCCCCACAGGGTTTCTGCAGGTTTTCTAAGAGTAAATTTAAGACTTTTTTAAGACCTTTTTAAGACCAAATAAAGAAAATTTAAGGAAAAAAAATATATCGTAGGGAAATTCATACGAATATATTATAATCATAAGAATTATGATATTATATTATAATCATAAGAATCATAACAATATACGTATTCTTCGGCCTTCCAATCGCACTACATGTCTAAATAGCGCGCTTTAGAAGAAAGGGTTCATCTGCGCATGCTTGTCAAGTTCTTCTTCGGGTTACTGACAGATGAAGCAGCACATAACGCCATCTACCGTTCAATGAATATTGAGCGATCTAAGCCATGTAGCACAGAAATTACGCTTTCGCTTCTCTTTAAAATCAAAACACACGAGGAAACAATCCCTCACAAAAATTAATGCCATGAATTTATGAATTTAAGACTTGCTGGTCTGATTTAAGACCTTTTCAAGGCCTTAATTCACGGAAAAGTGATTTAAGACTTTTTAAGACTTTTTTAAGACCCGCGGAAACCCTGCCCCAGTTCATTTGTAATCGAAGTGTTTTTTTAGTATGGCATATTCTAATGCTACAGCTACACAGTTCACACAACCTGAAATGAGCTGTAACGCAATAATGTAAAACTTTTTTGTCCCCTTTTGATATTAGTTTTATATAAAACTCCTACTAAATATATTTAGATCTTCATGTGTTAAATGGTTTTTGTTTTGTTTTTTAAGCATGAACCACTTGTTTAAGTCCTACCAAGTCAGACTGTGACTAGGCCAGTCTGACACCTTCATTTTGTTTGTTTTGAGCTCTGGATAACTGTCTTGCTGCATAACCCAGTAGCAGAAATCCAACAGAATCCCACTGACCACAATTTGGAGCAGAAAATTGCCTGAATATTTATTGTTGTAGTTTTTGATTTTTAGTTCAAATACATATTCATAGAGCTCTTGACATCACATCACTATTTCATGTGCCATCATGTTAGCAGGAACAGCTTAAGTGAATGACCCTTGTGTGGATTTAAATCCACTAGACAGGGTTCCCGCCTAAGAATTCAGAAAGTTAAATTTAAGGCCTTAAAATGTCTTAAAAATGCCCAGATTTTCATCCTAGATCTTAAATTTAATTTACCCAAGTCTTAAAATTCTTACCTCCGTTCATTCCCAAAAATCGTTGTCCGCAGAAAATAAAATAGTAAAACGCTGTAAAACTAATCCGTTGGTTGTGTTTTCTGGTGTGCACCGGTGTCTGAGTGGTAATGAAACTACAAATCCCATTGCATGATCACTGCAGCTAGGCAAACAAACAGTTTGAGAATGGTCTGGCTGCAGAACGTGCACTTTCAGCCACTGACGTAAAGTGCATGCTCAGCCACAACAGGAAGTGCAGGGGAATCAAGCGCTAACTAATTAGTTCTTGAGGCCAATGTGAATGGTATGTTGTTTTATTATTTGTCTTATTGAATGATATAGTTACAAGTTTATTTCATGCCATACATCAGGGGTATTCAAGTAAAATTTAAAGAGGTCCAGTTAGAGAAAATTTCTTGAAGCAAAGGTCCAGAAGATCATAATGTCTAAATATTTAGTGTGATATATAATTAAGTAGCCTATTAGTTGTATCAAAATTGCATATAGTCAATACCTAACTGTCAAATCAAATTAATTCAGTACAATTCAAAAACTTTATGACGATATTTATTGTCACGTGACAACTGACGAATTGAATATGTATTACTGCCGATATGTATAATGTTCTCTCATTTACTAAATAAAAGTAGGGCTGCATTTCAAAATAAGAGAAAATAAATAAAATGTGAAAATTATGCATGTTTAAATAAGGTGCTTAACTTCAGAAAAATATAATAAAGGGAGGAAAGCTTGAATTTCCCCTTTTTCTCATATTCTCATATTTGTCGGAGTAACAACGCAAACGGAATGACAAGCTGTTTCAGGGAACAACAGTGCATTTTACTTTTCATTTCAAATAAAACGCTGGGTTGCCAACTTCGGCCAGCTGGCTGGAGTTAAAATTTCAATTCGAGATGTCTGCACAAATATGTAACAGTTCTTACCTTGTAAATAGTCTGCTTTTGTATTGAGCCGTGTAAATACACTTTTAACGTAGCTAATTTTAGGTTTATAATAGAATAATATAGATTTGCTGTAAGACAATGGTACAATGGCGCGGCCACGTCCGGACGCCTTCCTGATCGCTCCGCTTAGACTGTGCTTTTATTTTATTTTTTACCTAGTTTTTATTACTTTTCATGCAAGCGAAATAACTAGTTTGGTTATTTATGACAGTGCAACGCTTTTTAACATCGGAAGCCAAACTCCAAAATTTATTTTAGACGCTTTAAAACCCGATCTGTCGTGGCCGGCTGGTATCCTGCGAGGCACGAACGACAACAATGGACAGAGACGCAACCCTCCAACAGACAGAACAAAGAAACATCGCGGGACACGCGGCGGTGTTCGGAACAGACTGAGGAAGCGTGCTCATCGTCCTCCACTGCCTAGCATCTTGCTCGCCAACGTCCAATCTCTAGAAAACAAACTAGATGACCTCAGGGCGAGGCTGAAGTTCCAGCGCGACTCAAGGAACTGCAACATCTTATGTTTCACTGAAACATGGCTAACCCCCCTGGTACCGGACCTAGCGGTAACTCCGTCGGACTCTTTCTCTGTGTTTCGCATGGACAGAACGGCGGAGGCAAAGAAATGTACAGTAAGGGCGGAGGAGTCTGTTTCTGTCTGTTTGTCGCGCTCCTGCTCGCCTCATCTGGAATACCTTACCATCAAATGTCGTCCGTTTTACCTACCCCGAGAGTTCAGCTCGGTCATTGCAACAGCGGTGTATATCCCACCTCAAGCAGACACAGGTACGGCTTTGTCTCAACTACATGATGTGCTACATGCGACTCAAAACAAACACCCGGACGCAGCGCTCATCATAGTGGGGGATTTTAATAAAGCCAATCTCAGGCAAGTCATGCCGAACTTTCACCAACATGTTACGTGTCCGACTAGGGGTGCTAACATTCTGGACCACTGCTACACTCCATTTAAGCTAGCTTATAAAGCCGTGTTACAGCCCGCTTTCGGCAAATCCGATCACTCAGCCATTTTTCTCATACCGGAATACAAACAAAAGCTCCTCCAGCAAGCCCCGGCCTTGAGGGAGGTAAAACGCTGGTCCGCCCAATCAGAAGCCACGCTGCAGGATGCGCTCGAAGACGTAGACTGGGACATGTTCCGGTCATGCGCAGCTGACGTCGACGAGTTGACGGATGTAGCACTCAGCTTCATTAGCACTCTTGCTAATGACATCGTACCCACGGCAACGGTAAAGACGTTCGCTAACCAGAAACCCTGGGTGGATGCAACCATCCGTGAGGCTGTGAACGCCCGTACCGCTGCGTACAACGCAGGACTCACCACCGGCGATATGAGCGCTTACAAAGCGGCATCGTATGGAGTCCGGCGCGCAGTGAGGTTGGCAAAACTATGCTATAGCAAACGTATCCATAAACATTTTAATCAGGGTGACACGCGCGCTCTGTGGCACAGACTGCGAACAATTACGGACTTTAAAGGCAAAACCACCACGGCTCAGAGCGTCAACTTTGCTTTTGCCAACGAGCTCAATGCGTTCTTCAGCCGGTTTGAGGCTAATCATGCTAGCGATAGCCACTTGGCTAC